AGTCAAAGAAAATTAATTCTCTGGGACCCCTTTCTGGATCCCAAGAAGCTTAAAACACTGGGTGTTTCCTTCATCCGAAGGATGCAAATGTTTTAATGAAGCTCAGTGTCTTTTTGGGGAGAGCAATGGGCCCACCTATGAAACCCCCAGTCAAACAGGTATTTCATCCATCCTCACACACCATACTATAAATTGAGATCCTTTGAAATTGCCTTTCGATTCAGCTCTTTCCTCACCACGATGACACTACAACAACTTTTTTAAAGGTTGTATCAACCAGGTAAATCCCATTGAGATCACGGATCTCTTTTTTTAAAGAAAGCCTGGGCCTGAAGGCAACCTATTGTACACGTTTTTGGGGTGTTGGGGAAACCGGAGTACCCGGAGAAAACCCACGCAAGCACGAGAAGGACATGCATATTTGCAAAGAAAGACCCCAGGTCCAAACCGGGAATCGAACCCAGAACCTTCTTGCTGTGAGGTGGCAGTGCTAACCACTCAGTGTGCTGCTTACTATAATTAATTTAAATGGCTGCCAGAGTTAAATGTATAAGCCAATGTGTCAGGTATTTAACTAACAAAAGGTCTAAAAAATATTTTTGTCTGAACAAGATTTCGCAGGCAAAACAAGGACAAAACTCTACTTCAAATGCAAAACAAACAGTCCATCAGTATTTTATCTGTTTGGCTTAAAACAACAGGATTATTGTGATGAATGATGTGAGACATAAAACAGGTCACTTTGCTTGTACCAATTTGCCTAAAATTTTACTCAAAGGGTAGAAGCTCATTTTCAGAAAAAAGATTGGTCCGACTTTCTTTACCTTTGTGCCTAAACGACCTTAAGCACGGCTCCATCACAGGGTTTACGGTTCGTGAGAAATGAGTTTGGGGTAGTGAAGGAGGAGCTGGGAGGATGATGTTTCCAATAGCTCGTTCATCATGTTAGATTAAATACTCCACTTCACTGATCCTGAACGGGGCGCACAGTCTACCTCACTTGCTCTTCTTCATTCTCTACAACCCGCCAACATTCTTTCTCGCTCATGCAAGCCATGCACTCAAGTGGTCTTTCTATCCTCCTTTCACCTCATCTATTTCTTTTTATTCTGTGTCTTAATTCCATTGTGCTTTCACTTGCCGCCTGCTTTCTTCTCTGCAAAATGCATTGCTGCTGCATTTATGCAGGGGATTGAGATGGTAAGCTGAAATAATACAATTAATTTGTTCTCTCTCTGATTCCGTCTCTCCCTCCATTTCTCCCGCTGTCTCAGATCAAGGAAGTGAAAATGTGCTGACATGGAGGGATACCCAAAAGAGAATTCTAACAAAGATGTTTGTTCACGCTAATGAAGAAAATAATGAAAGGCAAACAACAAAAACTGCAAGAGCGAGCAAAACGAATCGAGAGCCATGGAGGGATGGAAATGAGTTGAATGCAAGTCGCGTTCTCAAATCTGCGCACAAATATGAGTGAGGCAATAGTATCAGTGCTGCAAGGTATCTTTCAATCTGATCTGCTCCTGGGAGAGAAGTGAGCAGAGAGGTGAGCAGAGAACAGCTGTGCAGAGACTTCAGAGGACTGACAAATAGGAAGACTAACAGAAACCTTGGGGTAAAGATATATGAACCTTTTTTAGTTTACAACTAAATGGGTTAACCTTATCTTGTTGAAAAGCGCCATTAGTTTCCTTTAAACACAAAAATCTAATTGTGGGACTCTGCTGTAAATAGCGTTACATTTAAACAAGAAAATGTAAATTTCCTTCCATGGGTATTTTTCTTAGAACACGGCCACAAGTCAAAAGTCCAACCTAAAAGCTCAACGGAACCTCAAAATCTAAGGAGGTTGTTTAGCTTAGTAATATTATGGAAAACTAGCTTAGCAAATTTATTGAAAACGAGAAAAATGTTAATATACTCCTTAGTAACTGTTTAGTCTTTTTTGTCTAAAATTTATAATGCGTGTACATTATAAAAATACCTCTTTCCTTACAATTAGCTTGCTTTGCTACAGTCACCAGCAAGCACAAGCTACCATAAATGAAGCAAGGGTAAATAGGTGGTTTGGTTGGTCTGTGAAGCAGAATAAAGTCAAAATGTCTTCACTCCTGACTCATTTGGTGTAAAATGTGTCCTTAAAGGGGCAATATCATGTAAAATCAACTTTTTTGAGTTTTATATCATGTTATAATGTTATACTCTCATTAAAAAAAACATGTCCAAAGCCTTGGTTTGACTCATTCATACATGTTCAAGAAATCCTGCAGCGTTTTAAGGCAGCCATGCTGAGGAGCAAAACGACAAGTGGGGACCAGAAATGCCCCTGGGACGTGTCTTTAAGCCGAGCTTCCTCATCCCGGAGCACAKCTCCCCYCTCCACACACCCCGCCTATGACTCCTGCAGGCTCTCTGCAGTAACAGAGCAAAGTGAAACTTAACTGTCTGCTGCTCTCAACACTACTTCTCACTCAGTGAAGCACTTATCAGATTCAAAATACCTTTGAGGAAATGTATTTTCAGATGCCAATTAAACTGCAGCATAGCGCACGTGCGAACCCCCTCCCCCACCCCTTCCCCCACCAACACTGAAATGGGGCGGGACAGAAGCGGAAGGTAGTTCTTAAAGAGACACAGGCCAATCTCAAGGCGTTTAGAAGTTTATTTTCTATTTAAACATAAAAACAGTATTTTAATAACAACTAAAGGTGACATAGACACCTTATTATGGTATAGTATTTAAATGTATGACTGAGAAACACATAATATTGCCCCTTTAAAGTGCAGTGAAGCTCCACAAAGTTGCATTACTACTAGCACTACTAGTAGTTTACAGTAACCCCCTTAAATTGGTGGAAACCAGAAATAAGGAACATCAATTTTTTTTTCTTTTTCATGACTTTAAATTATTAAGAAGAATATAATTTACATTTTTTTACCCTAAATATTAACATAAAATCACTTTAATACAGTACAGTATGTGAARATGCCACATTCCGCCAAGAACGCAGCATTTTTGTCTTCTAACAAAACCATGTAGTGTGTAAATGATAACTCTTTAGCTCTCGTGTGTCTTTGTTTGGTCCCCAAACACACTGTAGGCCTTTTCTGGACTGCATCCAGTATTTGTGCATTTTAATGATTCGTGGGTACTCTGAAAATGCAACTCCTGCAAAAATCGGGGGCTTCGTTGTCTTTTGGAAATTTGTGTGTTGAAGACCAAGTTTCAGTTTCTGAGTAGTCAACTGCTCTCTTTCTGCTGTACTCATCTTTTTCCATATGGCACCCTGTTCTCGCTGTTCTGCACCAAGTATTTACATAAAAAATGTGACTGATTTAGACCCTGTAGTCTGAGGATCCTAGCATACTAATAGCATCCAGTCAACACTACTGTGACACCTCTCTGCTTTTTTCAACCAACGTTTAGTTTGCTGGAACTGCAGTTGCACAGAGACAGGGATATATTTCTGCTGGTGTCCGTGACATAACAAGGCATTTAAAGCTAAGAAGAGTATAAAGGTCTGCAGATGGGAAGACGGTGAATTGGTTGGAAAGCTGGAAGTTAGGGCCCTTTTAGCTCTGGATGACCACCCAGCTACAAAGCAAGAATAGAAAAAAGAAAATCAACCAAAACCTGAATGGTCATGAGTGTACATTCAGTAGGTTTGTTTTTTTTTATATTGAAACAAAAAATTAACTACCCTTGGTTTACTGAACCAGGATGAAAATTCAAAAAATAAACAAATTTCCAATTTTGTGCACTAAAAAAAAAATATATATATATATTTTTTTTTTTTTTTTTGGGGCTCACTTTTGATTTATTTTATATGTTTGCGACAAGTGACCTGACCTGAAAGCTCTCTCTGCCCTGCATATGCCGTGTAGAGAGCCCTTTGTGTAAACCTTTCCAAAAAWGTGTAGAAATTGATCATATTTACACACAGATAACTACAAATCCTAAATTTGCATGAACGTAGATTAAAAACACAATAACAGAGAGGCACCTGATAGATTGGTAACTAATTGTGCTGATAGACAGTTTGCCTCGTCTAGAAGTAAGCTCTGTTTGAACCATCAGGGGTCTCATTTATAAAGGATTGCGTGGAAACCATACTAAAAGTGAACGTACGGCCAAAAGGCGGAAATGGCGTACGCCAAAAAAATACAGATTTTTAAAACCGTGCGTACACAGTTTCTGCGCATCTTTC